TTCTAAAATATAAGTACTTATATAAAAATTTTTATATGGTTTTGTTATCTCTTATACTTTAAACCATCTCTTATATTATAAACCATATTTTTTATTCAATTCTATATTATGTTTAAAATTTGTCAAATTCTCACATATTTTCTTTTTCATATAATAATAAATTCTTATTTTATAGATTTATAAAAATGGATCTTTTATTGGATTTATTTTTCTATGAAGATGACAATGATGCTGAATATATTGCACAAGCTATTCGAGAACGACACATTGAAATACAAATGTATTATGAACATGTTATTATGGGATATTCATTAAATGATAAGTATAATATAAAGATTATTTAGTAAAGCAATTCTCATAAAAAGTAGTTAACCATTATATTAATTTTAATAAAAATTTTATCAAGAAGTATTCTAAAAAATAATATCAAATGCACGGCAAGTGATGTTCTTAATAATAGTCTTTGATAATAATTCGTTTTGTATAAAACTATTTTGACTTACTTTTCAGTTGAATAAAAAAGTCTGATAAAAAATGAATTTGGAGATAGGCCAAAATACCTTACAAAGCAATGACACATATGGTATATATCTATTCTATGTAATTGACATTCTATGATTGTTATATTATAATTATATATTAAATTATATATTAAATTCTTTTTTATTCAGAAAATAAGTTACAGTGGACCGAAGTAATGACAATATTATTGTTGTCAGAGATAGAACATAAAGAAGATTTTAACTCACAACCACAAAAAGCTTTATGGAAACATATTTGTGCTGCCATTAATGAATTTAGCTATAATGTAACAGCAGACCAGTGTTGTTCCAAATGGAAAAGTTTGAAGAGAAAATATAAGCAAATAAAGGATAATAATAATCGTAGTGGTGCAGGAAAACAGCAGTGGGTTCACTTTAACAGCATTGATAATATCATGAAGACGAGACCTGAAATTAATCCTATATCATTGGCTTCAAATATTGGTGGCTTCCGCATGCGTAAAGTCGAAAATATTGAACATTATAAATTAATGATAAATGATGAAAATGCTGATGAGACTGCAAGTGCTGTGTTTTCACTGGACAGAAATGCAATCGACAGAGACACACGTAGACCAATCAGTAGAAGATCACGATTAGAACCATATTGGGCAGTAGCTCTTCGAGAACAAAGAGAACGGCACCATAAAGAAAATGTTCGTCAAAGACAGCGCTTTCTCTTTGCTCTTAAATAAGTATTGAAAAAATAAGATTGTTTTGGTACTTAAATACGAATATTTAAACTTGCAATGCAGAAAAATATACATTAAAAAAAAAATATATATATATATATATATATAT